GGCATGATCTTGGCTCACTGCAACCTCTGCCTCCCAGGTTCAAGCAGTTCTTCTGCCTTAGCCTTCCTCCCGAGTAGCTGGGACTACAGGTGCGCACCACCACGCCCGGCTAATTTTTGTATTTTTAGTAGAGATGGGATTTCACTATATTGGCCAGGCTGGTCTCGAACTCCTGACCTTGTGATCTGCCAGCCTCAGCCTCCCAAAGTGCTGGGATTACAGGCATGAGCCACCACATCCGGCGAAGATTTTGCATAGTTCTAAATCCTCATTGCCTCTACCACTAACTTAGTGGGCCTTCAATGAGTCATTTGCTGAACAAACAACATTCCTCCTACTCAGGTCATCACTGAAGCGTACAGTGAAGGTTCATTTTTAGTGTCTTTGTAGTATTTACTGTTAGTATTTAAGACCTTATATTGTTATCTTTTTAACGTGTGTAGGTATAATATAACTGGTATACTAAAAGTTTATAAGGCAGTTGTTTAGAATTTAAGACACATTTTTCTATAGAAACTATTACAAATTATAGGTTAAATATTCTAGGAAGCTAATCCTTATAATCCATACTGTTCCTCTAGCTCTGTAAACCAGACATCTTTCATCATTCTATTGATGTGAAAACTCATTTCATGTTCCAATTCTGGACTCCAGGAGCACATTATTCCACCAGAAGAGTGGCTAAGGCAGGGGAAGGAAGACCTGCTTTCTATTTTCCTGTTAACAGAATCCCGCAGAGATTAAGAGAGTCTAAAGGCAGGAAGGCAGGGAAACAGGGTGCCAGACAAACCTAGAAATTGTGCAGGAAATGGAGATTGTGGGTTCGAGGTCTAGAAGCAACCTCTACACATAGGTTCCCAATTGGAGCAACTTTTTGAATTCAAAACCTGTCTCAAGCAGTCTCTCTAGTTGCTTCTTTTCCTTGCTTCCTGGCTATCTGGTTAGTAGTTGAAAAACTCTGTTTAGGATAAGTAGTAGATAACTAATCTGGATTCAAATAGGATCATGTATCAAAGTTGATTTTTTTTTTTTTTTTGAGAGACAGGGTCTCGCTCTGTTGCCCAGGCTGGAGTGCAGTGGCACAATCATGGCTCACTGCAGCCTCAATCTCCTGGGCTCAAGTGATCCTCCCACCTTAGCTTCCTGAGTTACTGGGACTACAGGTGTGCAGCAGCACACCCGGCTTATTTTTATTTGTAGAGATGGCAGTCTTGATTTTCATCTGAGTTGGAATAATTTTAGAGCTTCCCATAAATTGTTGGCCTGTGGCTCTCTTACTCAGATTTATTCATGGACTTTCATCATTCCTTGTAGCTGCACATCTAATGAGATTTTAACATAGGCGTATATTTGTGCTTAGGCTTTTAGGATTTGATTAGTGGAGCGGATTCCTTTTTGCTTTTCGTCTTAATTACCCTAGTGTTTATATGCTTTGGTTCTGAGTATTATTGATTTGTTTTTTTAGCGATGTGGTCTCTATTTTGCCTAGGCTGGCCCCTTGAACTCCTGGGCTCAAGCAATCCTCCTGCCTCAGGCTCCTGAGAAGCTAGGACTACAGGTGTGCATACCACTGTGCCTGTCTTGATTTGTTTTGCTATTAAAGTAATGATATCTCATTGCCCCTGCCCCACCCTCCAAATTGAAATTGGCTAGCTTGTGTCAGGCATCGAAACTTGAATAGCCTTCTAAACTGATATTAACTACTTTATGGATCTTTTAACCATTCTATAAAAGAAGCTCTACTTAAAATTAGAGGCTGGGCATGGTGGCTCACGCCTGTAATCCTAGCACTTTGGGAGGATCACTGGAGCTCAGGAGTTCAAGACCAGCCTGAACAACATAGTGAGACCCCATCTTCACAAAAAGAAAAATTTTTGATTAGCTGGGCATGGTGGTATGCCCCTGTAGTCCCAGCTACTTGCGAGGCTTTAGTAGGAGGGTCACTTGAGTCTGGGAGGTCGATGCCACAGTGAGCCATTATTGCGACACTGCACTCCAGCCTTAGTGGCAGAGTGAGACCTTGTCTCAAAAAAAAAAAAAGTTAATTAATTTAAAAAAAAACACCCAAATTAGATCTGCTTTCTTTAAATATTTAACATTTTGAATTAGAAGTTTTCTTTGCTTTTATCACATTATTTACATTAATATTATCTATAGACTGAGGAAATAGGCAAAGTAGAAAAAGACTTCCAAAAGTATTGTCACTATGAATGAAAGAATAATGTCTGGATAAATTAGTAGTATCTCTTTAATCTTATTAAAATAGTCTTCAAAGCATTAAATGCCAAGAAGGTTAAGGAAGAATTTCAAAGTTATAAAGACCAGCATTACTGAGCACACTGTTCCATTGTTTGGTGATGGCATCACTGGTTTCAGGGAATTTTTTTTTTTTTTTTTTGGAGACAGAGTCTCACTGTCGCCTAGGCTGGAGTGCAGTGGCGCAGTCTCGGCTCACTGCAGCCTCCACCTCCTGGCTTCAACCGATTCTCCTGTCTCAGGCTACAGAGTAGCTGGATTACAGCGCCCGCCACCACACCTGGCTAATTTTTTTGTATTTTTGGTAGAATGGGGTTTCGCCATGTTGGCCAAGCTGGTCTTGAACTCCTGACCTCAGGTGATCTGCCCACCTCGGCCTCCCAAAGTGCTGGGATTACAGGCATAAGCCACCATGCCCAGCCTGGTTTCAGGGATTATTAATGGTTGGAAACAGTTTTTTGCAAATTTCAGGTGCTTATAAGAATGAAAATACATAATGGTTGTTTGATTTTTGTGGGTCTATGAATGCAAGCAGTGGCTAGCACATATAAAACAGCTGAATTTCTTCATGGGATGATGTAGAAAGCCATAGCATATTTGACTAGAATATAATGTTCACCACAACAAATAGTGCACAAAGGACTCTGATGGAAAAAATCCAAGTTACTGAATATAGTACAGTAAAACAGTGGTTACAGAGCCCCAGAGAGTAAGGCAGTCATGGTTTATCTCAGCTTGCTATGTACTATTTAGCTTGAGAAAATTAGCTCAAATCTCTATTCCTCAGCTTTCTCAACTGAGAATAAATATAACAATAGTACCTACTTCTTTTATTCATTCAACAGGTACTTACTGAGTGCCTACTACGTGTCCCAGGCATCAAAGATACTGCAGTGGGGGCCGGGGGAGCAGACAAAACTCTGCCCTCATTGGCTTTCATGAGGGTGCTAGACAGTAAATAAGAATCAAGCATTGATTGAATATGTAGATATGTGTATTCAATGTATAGACCGCGATAAGTGCCAAAAAGAAAACAGAAAAGTAGTGGAAAGGGAATGTAAGGTGTTGAAATGGAGAATAAAATAGAAATATTCAATAGGGAATACCTCCCTGAGAAAGGTTATTGTGAGGAATGTATATGAATAATGCATGTAAAGCATTTAGCAGAGTACCTGGCATATATAAGGACTCAATAATTAGCAGGCTGGGTGCAGTGGCTCACGCCTGTAATCCCATCACTTTTGGGAGTTTGAGGAGGGAGGCTCGCTTGACCTCAGGAGTTTGAGACCAGCCTGAGTCTGTAATTGTGCCAGCATTAGCAAATGACATGCAGTTGCCACTGCACTCCAGACTGGGCAACAGAGCAAGACCCTGTCTCAAAAAAAAAAATAGCAGCTATTTATTATATATGTGATACTAAGGAAAAGGTAAGTCAGTTGACTTAACACTAATCAAAGTAAGTTGAAGATTATGACTAATGAAAAAAGTATTTGTGTATGTGTGTGTGTATAAGCCCATATCCAGAGACTGGTTGATGTTTTTTATTCATTGCAAATGGAATCTCCTCAACTATGAACAATTTAATTTTCTGAGCTACTTACCAAAGCTTGTACTGTTATATAATCAAATGTGTTTTGTGTTTGATTTTATTTTTATGTTTTACTTTACATTAAACATTAGCTGATCTCTTGTGCTGTTTGGGTTAATAGTCATAAATTAAATGACTCATAGCTATGTTGAATGACTTTTACATTTGAGGCCTTGTATTTGTTGTTAAAACCATGACTGATATACAGATTTAGGAAAATTAATTTGTATTCCACTTTCAACCTGTAAATCATGGATTACCTTCTAGGCTATTATTTTTATCCCTTTTTTAATTTTTTATTTATTTTTTATTTTTTAAGAGACAGAGTCTTGTTCGGTTGCCCAGGGTGGAGTACAGTGGCATGATCATGGCTCACTGTAACTTTGAACTCTTGAGCTCACACAATCCTCCAGCTTCTTGAGTAGTTGGGACTATAAATGTGCACCACCATGCCTGGCCAATTTTTAAATTTTTTTGTAGAGACAAGATCTGGCTATATTGCCTAGGCTGATCTTGAACTCCTGGCTTTAAGCAATCCTCCCACCTCAGTGTCCCAGTCTGCTGGGATTACAGGCTTGGGCCACAGTACCCAGCCCATATCTATCCTTTGTGTATCTGGATCATCAAGACTTAGATGTCTGAGTACTTAGATAAAAGGACCATGAACTTAAAGCTGAAGATCTTTTGTTGCTTGTATAGAATGGAACTCATTGAGAACTAGGTATTACTTAGAATATGGTAAATGATGGTTTACTGCTTTGTGTCTTTCAGTGTGTTGGCGTGCATCAGCCCAGAAGCAGTGATCTCTGGATTAAACTGCATGTCATTTGCTAATGTTGGCATGAGTGGCTTAAGCCCCAATGGTGTGGATTTGAGCATGGAGGCAAATGCTATAGCTCTGAAATATTTAAATGAAAATCAGCTGTCACAACTGTCTGTCACTCGATCAAACCAAAATAATTGTGACCCATTCAGCCTTCTCCATATTAATACAGACAGAAGCACAGTAGGGCTTAGTTTAATTTCACCAAACAACATGTCATTTGCAACCAAAAAATATATGAAGAGATATGGACTCCTACAAAGCAGTGACAATAGTGAAGATGAAGAGGAGCCTCCCGACAATGCAGATAGCAAGAGTGAACATTTATTGAATCAGAACCATACGTCCATACCTGAACAGCTTGGTGGTCAGAAAGAGCCTTCTAAGAATGACCATGAAATAATTAATTGTTCTAACTGTGAATCTGTGGGCACCAACGCAGATATGCCAGTATTAAGAAATATTACAAATGAAGTTTTGCAGACAAAAGCAAAACAGCAGTTGACTGAAAAGCCAGCTTTCTTATTAAAGAACCTTAAACCAAGTCCTGCAGTGAACCTTCGAACCGGGAAAGCAGAGTTCACTCAACATCTTGAGAAAGAAAATGAAAGGGACATTGCAATTTTTCCTGAAAGTCTGCAACCTTCTGAAACTCTAAAGCAGATGAATAGCATGAATTCAGTAGGCACCTTCTTAGATGTAAAACATCTCAGACAGTTACCAAAATTATTTTAACCTTTTAACTCCCTGCTCTTTTAATACAGGGACAGGGTGTCTCCTGAAGATACTTAGGGAAGCCAGAGAGCCTTGTGGTAGTTTTGGGATTTCCTGATCATTCTGGAGTCAGTCTGTTTCTTGGTAGCAGCCAACTGGGAAGAGTGACTTTTTCTGTGAGATGGCTGACTAGTGATAGGACTAAGTTCTCATTATTCAAATAGAGTTGTTCAACATCACTGAAACCTTTAAGAAAAACAAACCCTGAGATCAGTTATTCCTACAAATTTAAGTAGATAAATACTATCCAGCTCTGAGTCTTAACTGCTCTTTTATACTGTACTTTTTTTACTTTTTTTTTTCTTTTTTTTTTTTTTTTTTT